ACAAGGAAGAGAACAGCGTGCTCTAAGACCACAGCTTGGGGATTGTCAGTATATCACGTTCATATTGACCGTTATAGTTTACTTTTGGAATATGTGGTTGTGTCGGCTACTGTTCAAAGATTTGAACAGTACCCTTGATGATACAACATTTGAAAACCCAGGTGTAATCCACACAAGTTGTAATTTGGTAACATGATATGCGTACTTCATTATTCCACCATTGGCTTTAATTGTTTTGTTACTTGCAAATAGGCACCACTAACGCAGGACACGCAAGCATAAATTGATTGGTTACAATGTATTTCTTGTACCTCATGCCTTTGAGAGATCCCGTCTATCCTTGGCCCAAAAATCTACCTCAACTGGATTGCTTGCGGAATAGTCCAGTAGTTTCAGCTTTTCCTGCACTCAACAGTACTTAAAATTTTTTTCTAAGACAAGTTGGCTTATGCGTCACTAAAATGAAATAGGGACGTAAGCAGGTCCCGTACGGATGGCAAACTCTTAGCATCTTCTTGTCCTCAGTACATTGCGCTGTTGGCTCCTTACGTGACTCAAGCTACAACTTATCGCTTTAAAGCAATTACACATGCGTTGCAGCTGTGATATGTCACCAAGCAATCTCCTGACTTCACACACTCCTTGTGACTTTGTGAGAAATTCTGTGATTTTTGGATTGAACCCACCAAATAAAAGACTTAGTTTGTAACATATTGTACCCAGTTGTAAGAAGTGTAAGATCACATAGCGTGCAGACATGATTAAAGCATTTTTATATATGTGGCGCTCTAATATACTTGTATTTGACACTGTCATACATATTCAATTTCATGTGATCTAATTGTACTGGTCAGAAGCACGTGTAAATGACAATACAGTAAAAGTTTGTATAAATGAAGGAAACACAGATGTGAATGCCATGATTTTATGATTTACACGTCGCACAACAGTAAAAGTGCGTAAAATAACATTTTCCAGCTTGGAATTGAATTGCTGACTTTTATTTTAAGTGGTACATGGGAGACAGGCTGTTGTGTTCGATGCTTCATTAGACATTCGTGAGAGGTTGCACAAATTTTGTGCATTACATTCTTCATGATAGTACTTTGTTACACAGTTATTAAGCCACTATTCCCTCCTCCTACTTACTCCGACAATTCTGATTTTTCTCAGGACTGCACTTGTAACACGCATGGCATTCAAACTTCGATCAGGGTTTCCTTTCGCATAAGCACTACTTTGGTGATTTAATGTGACAGTGCAACTAATAGCTAGTCAGTCGGCTGCGCCCGCTGTCGCTCAGAAGTCGAAGGTGAGATCGGACAGTTGAACTTGAACAAAGCCGCGGCACCAGATGATCTTTCTCCAGCCCTCTTCAAATTCGGAGACTCTGCTCTTGTTTATGCTTTACATGAATTACTAGCGAGACTGTGGGAGCAAGAGACTGTCCCAACCGATTGGAGCCGCACCCTTATTGTTCCTATGTTCAATGGAGGCTGGCGCTCGGAATGCGGCAGCCATAGAGGAATCAGTCGGATCACCATCGCCTCCAAATTACACGCCTGCATAATCCTTCATAGACTGACTGGAGCTCGTGAAAGTCAGATTCTTGAGGCGCAAGCTGGGTTTCGTTTGGGTCGTGGCTGCATCGACCACATCTTCACCTTGCGTCAGTTGTTGGAGCACCGTCACACATATTGGCTGCCCACCGTAGTCCTGTTCCTCGACATCAAAGGTACCTTCGATTCGGTTGATCGATGTGCCCTTTGGAATTGTCTACTCAGGAAAGGTGTGCCCGAAAAATATGTAAAGATTATCCGAGCATTAGATGCGCATAGCACGGGTAGAGTGAAGGCTTACGGCAAGCTGTCGCCACCCTTCAATATCTCCAGCGGTGTGAGACAAGGATGCCTGTTGTCACCTTTCCTCTTCAACTTCGCTATTGACGAAGTCATGGAGATTGCATTTACAGGACATGACTTGGAAGATGTGGATATGCTCCAAGGAGAACGACTTCTTGACTTGGAGCATGCTGACGATATTTCCCTCATCTGTGATAGCTGCCAGACGTGCCAAGCCTCGCTGGACAGATTAGCACTGGCTATCAAATGCTTCGGGTTTTGCTTTGCACCATCGAAATACAACGCGTTCCTCCAAGATTGGCAGGGATCGCCTTCTGCATTGACCCTTGGTAGGGATCAGCTAGAAGTCGTTCGGAAATTCAGCTACCTGGGAAGTTGTATCAACGCCCGTGGGATCAAAGACGAGATCACGAACCGTATAGCGAAAGCTCGAAGCGCTTTTGCTAACCTTTGCCACCTATGGCGGCGGCGGAACATTACTGTCGCCTTGAAGGGCAGAGTGTACAATGCAGCGATACGTTCGAGCTTACTGTACGGTTGAGAAACCTGACCCCTAAGATCGGCGGACATGAAGAGGCTAGTTTCGTCCGCTCATCGGTGCCTTCGCAGTTTGGCTCATATCCGGTGGGAACACCGCGTGAGTAACGAGCTTGTTCGACGCCTTGTTTATGGCACAGAAAAAGGAACTGAACCGCTCAGCCCCGTCATTTCATACATCAGGCTCCGATGGCTTGGCCACGTGTTGCGCATGCCAGTCTACCGGCTTCCACGATGTGTGTTGTTCGCTTACCGGGGATGTGGATGGAAGAAGGGGAGGGGTGTCCAAGCGATAACTTAGTCCAGAGGAATGAAGGCCCGCACTTCGGAACTGGTTTTGGTTGGAGTTTCACGGCTCCCTGGTTGGAGTCCAAAAGACGTAAACACGTTTGGCTGGATCACTTGTTGATATGGCAAGGAGCCGACCTCAGTGACATTCGTGCTGTGAATGTTTTGTCACTCCCCATCACTTCTAGCCTCCCCCTCTATATTTGACCACATTTCGTAGCGTAAAACATAATAATTTTTTCTTTTTACCTGGTAGCCGGCTTGTAGCTTGCCGGAATGATGCCCATCCGTTGCTGATAGCTCGGCTGGAATACAACTGTTGTATTTATTTTCCTTTTGCTTTATGTATTGCGGCACAGTAGCTGAGGTGTTTCCAACCTCTAGCTGACGTGTATAATAATGATGATTATAAGGGAACGGGGAAATTTGATTAGCTTGGTTGGATAAAAGAGACGTAATTTATACCTATAGGGAATGAACAAGAATTGAATGGCGTTCTCACGCTTTCATTGAAAGTACTCACTCTGTACATAATGCAATCTGTTTGCTAGCGCATTATTATCAATCATGACAAATTTTATAATTTTATTCCTTTCCGTTAATTCACAACTACATCCGTCTCAACTATTCCCCTTATGCTTCTTGATGTAGCATAGAACGTTAGTAGCTAAGTCTCTTGCGGATGCTGTGCTAGTGCAAAGATCACGCGGGGGAAGGACTAGAGCTTAAAATGCGGTATATCTACTCGAAAATTAGGACTGAAATGGGAAATGACATATAATCGTTCACTTGGCACATTCGTTCAACCCGCATCGACTCTGTTGTCTCATCTATGTAAAGGGTAGATTGGTGCATATGCATAAAAGCCAAACCGATTTGTTTTCACTTGAATCGAAAGAGGATTGCTAGACGAATAATTTCCAAAGGTAGATCCATGTGTTCCAAGCGTGCACAAAACGACACTATTCTTTTTTCAAGGTGCGTTTTTAATTGTTGAAAGAGGTGTAAGTTATTTGTCAGTAGCTAAGACCACTGCCGGCAAGCGGTTTCAACGTATTCTCACATTATTCACCTCGAGATGGCTTTTTGGCTTGCTTTTTATTCGGGTCTGTCGTTCATATTTGAATGTGGACCGAGTCAGCATAAACAGGAACGCGTAGAAAGCGGGATCTTCAATAACACAGATGATAGAACACTTCTTACTCAGGCGTAATGTGGATAAACTTATGCTCCGTACACTCCCATGTCGGTGCAGGTGGATGGCCAGTATTTACACTTAGGCATGTTACTTTAATCGCAAAACCAGGAAAGAAGCAAGAGAAGAAATAAAAGAATCCTCCTAATCTATCCTTGACGCAAGCAACCATAACATGTAATTTTTTCAATACATTTGCACACGCAGCAAACACAAGTGACCGATGAACTCTCGCAGAGTGACGTGTGTGTGTGTGCCTTCAGTAGTCCAATGGGAAAAGTGTAATGAACAATGAATAGTGATTTTATACGGGTTAAGAAACATTGCTTTACAAGCCTTGTTGGGTGGCCTGCTTGGTTAACGGAAAACGTGAAGGAAAAAAGCAGTTGATAGTTGTACTGTCCAAAGAATAGACTTATCGTTTGTGATTCAGTAGCCCTGCACCTTGAGCGTTTCCATAGCTTCAGTAGGCGAAAAAATGCAGATCCAAGGTATTTCCCAGGAGTGGGTTGAAGAGTAGCGGCAAGTAACAAAATGTAAGTGGCGGAGTGTCATCCAACCGACTTTTAAATATGGCTAGCGTGGGTGCTGAAACAACAGATTCGGGGAGAGCCTTCCATCGTTGACACATACGATGGGAAAAGTAGTTTCCACAGCACGCCAGGCGGCTGTGTTGTCCTGCTAATTTCAATGGAGTGGCTTAGGTTTTACAAAATATTTCAGCATAGCCTTAAAAACGCAGTACTGCGTTATGATACTTTTGGAATTAACACCTGGAGTGGGGACGGCGTTTGAAACCAGGAAAAGTGCATTCACCGTAAGTATAGGTCACGTTGGAAATATGTTTCCGTACGATCAAGCTCCTTCCGGTATTTGTTTTATTAGGAATGTCAGAAGTGCGCAAACCGGTCACTTAGCGGTAGCCTACTGGTTACTTCTGTGTACACTTGAAGGTCACTTGTCTGAGTGGGCGGACTGAAGAATCAGCATCGATTCATACATATGGCCTTACTTTTAAAATGCTAAAGTGCATTGCCTCCGATACAGCCCGCTGTTCACCGACCATGCTTCAAAATCCAGTTCATTAGGGCCACTGATTAGGCAAAACAGCTGAAGGTGATTGGATAAGTATGTACCACGAAGCAACGAAGAGAGGCTGCATTTGCATCTTTCATTTAATGGGTAATACAGGTGACAACACGTTTGTACATTAAATATCAACAGCTCCCTCTGAATGCAGCGTGTGAACTTCATACCCGTTAAACAGAGAAGGTTAAAACAATCATATTAAAACAGTCGAACATTCAAGGTTAAAACAGTCAAGGTTAACACTCAGGTCATAACAGTCATATAACAGTCATATCAGTTATAAACTCAAGTCTAATGAGCCTGAAGGAAACGTTGCGTTGTCAGTTGGGCATACAGGTAATGGTGCGCTTGCCTGAGAAAAAACATCACATGAGTTAATAGAACTATTGGAATGTTACTCTTCCTATACGTCCGGTGAATCCAACGGACTCGATTGGAATTCAGATTTGCAGCCCTCAAGAAGGTCGGAGGGAGCGAAGCACTATTCCAAAACTCCCACGAAGTAGTTCAGCATAAGCTCTGGCAAAGTGATCTCTGGAGATATACTGAAAGCGCTATCCAAGCAGCCATGATCTTGATGACGTTACTGCTGTCATGCCAAGCCCGACCGGCGTCTGGTTAAGGAAGATCAAGCACAAAGATTTCAATGACACGTAGACAGGCTGTTGCTGTTTGCTTAATTCTCTGTAACTATGCATTGCTCATTTACCTCACCATGAGCTAAATAAAATAACACATTTAGAATTGGAGAAGTCAAGCATACGCGCTGTTTTCTTTGTACTTACAACACGACTAAGCGGTTGAGTGTAATACGTGAAATTCAGCAGCATAAGCAGAGGATACGTATTTCGGTAACAAGATAATTTGTGCCAAAATTAAACACAGTAAACTACATCCTACGTGTAAGTTAAAATAACTCATCTTTTTTAAATAAATTTGACGCATGATTTTCCTGCTTGTTTTAATGTTTGACATTTTTCTCCCAGGTAAATATCTAAACTCACATCACATGATTATATACATATTGAACAGCAGACCTGCTTGTATTACGCTTCAAACTGACAACGGAGAAGAACTTGCTTACCAAATAGTACATCAGAGAGCAAAGTGTAGAATAATGTAGATTAGTATAATGGTAGCGGCCTGGAATTAACAACACAGCGTTGAATGTTTTTTCACATTTACTATTGACCATATACATAGCATTTACATAACGCAGGCACAATTTAAATGACTGGGCTGTTGGACCATTCTATTCCAAACATTTGAGTAGGGGACTTACAGCTTTGATCATTGTCGCTGTACACGTCATGCGGTTTTAGATTAGAATGGATGAAACAAGGCTCAGGAAAAGCAAAAGAGTACAACATTTAATTAAGTGCCCATGAAAGCAAACAGTAGTGAAACAGACACATGATATATTTGATATAAACGATACCATCACAGATGATGTGGTTTCCGAGAGTTTGCTCCTAGTTGGTACGTGTCTTTGGTGTAGAATGGTAAATACGCCATCGGCGCATGCTGCTGCACGCCAGTTTATTGCTATTGAAGGACTGAAAAAGTGCCTGGGTAAAAAGAGTCTAGCAAAAAGTAAAAGCCAGCGTTTTGCGTCTTACAATGTAATCCCTAACAGTAAGCTCCGGATTCAGCATCGATTCGCACCCTGACACCAACGCAATGTTCACGCCTTGATGTTGGGGAAACTAAGTGACAAATATGCAGTACAAAAGCATGTCAAACATAATGTTCCCTTCAAAAAGTAACATTGCAGAAAATCACCCGTGTAGCATATAACTAGAAAAATCACATCGATATATGAAAACGCAATGTTATCAAGCGAACGTATGTTTACAAAAACTCTTCCTCAGGCTTGTACAATTTCAATGTAAATACGACCACCAATATAGACACATAACACGAGGAACGGTAATGCACTCAGTTTACAGTCACCGGTCACAGTCAATCACTGCCCCTAGGACACAGCTGTAGCACGTGCTCAATTCCTCGGTTTGGACGGATCAATTCGTTTGGGCCAAGTCGAGCACAGTATGTGAGTGAATCTTTTCTGGACGCACAATTCCAGCTCGTATAGTCTGGTCGCTAAACGCTTTCGAACGAACTTTGATCGATTTTCGAGTAGTCGATAGATGACGTTGAATGCCTCGGCTGGGTTGGGGGAATGGCTGGTCTCAGCAGGACGCGTGGCGATGGATGAGTTGGTTAGCTTTCGACACCCAGTCGCAAGCCAGGCCGGATGGTGTTCCTACCCCCAGTCAGACAGGCGCCTCGTCGTACAGCCAATAGACCCTGAACCACAGGAACAAGTGAATGAATGGAATTGGCGTGGACAGGCCTTTTGTCTTTTGGATTAGTTTTCACCATCGGGATACTGGTGAAGTGAATCTGCATTTTGGCTGCTGGAAACGTGTACCTGAGAGCGCAAGAAATACCACGAGTTAGAAGTCCAAGTACGATTTCCCCTTTGTACGGTAATTGTTGAGAAATGGGTTTCTTTTCGGCTGTGGTAGTTACAGGAGATTTCCTCCTTTGCTCCATGTTGGTCTTAATGAATCCATCCGGGTATTCATTTTCCTTCAGGGTTAAGCGTATGCGCTGCAGTTACTCAGAGAAGGTGTAATTCGAGCAAATTCTTTCCGCTCGACTCGTGACATTAAAATTCAGGTTCCGTTTTGATCTAAGTGGAACCATACTGTAGCAATTCTTGTAGTGTCCATTGCAAGTACGTTTCCTATACACACGACGCTGTAGCGAACCATCATCGAGTGGCTTCACGAGGAAATGAAAGGAGCTATCTTCCTCCACTTCAGATGTAAACTTTAGCGCTGTGTGCACCTGGGTAAGTGTGGTGATGAGGAGGAGTAGAGCAATATAAAGATATCATCGACGTAACGGCAGTAAAGGCTAAGGCTTTTGATGACCGATCTTAACTTGCTGTGCTCTAGCGTACCCAGAAACACGTCAGCGACAAACGGCCCCAGTGGGGAGCCCATAGCAACACCATCGTGCTGTCAGTATATTTCTCCGTGGAACAAAAACGGGATATTATCAGTGCATTGGAGCAACAGTTTTTTTAGGCTAACTGTAGGAATGCCAATGGTCATCTTATTCTGATCAATATAATCACAAATGTATCTTATAGTTTGAACTAGTGGCACGTTGGTGAAAAGTGAAGCAACTTCGAGAGAACGCATGATTAAATCCGTAACATTTCCATCACGCACGACATCTATGAACTCAAAACTGTCCTTTAGGCTGAGTACAACAATCTGCTTTCGGATGGTCTCAAAAAGCTCAAGGAGTCACCGCGCAGTGGAATGGTACGGAGAGTTCTCCATGTCTAAAACTGATCTCAGAGGAACGTTAGGCTTGTGCGTTTTAAGTAGACCGTATAGCCTTGAAATCGCGGTGCCTACTGGGCGTAGATATTCATATTCACCTTAAGTAGTAAATCCCATCACGGAGGTTTTTAAGGCAGTTGCAGACTTGATATTCGATCTGTTTTGTTTTTTCTTTTACAACTAACGTCATTGTAAACGTGGTGTCATTCGCCAATATTTCATGCATTTACCGAAGATAGTCTGCTTTGTTCAACACAATTATTCCTGCACCTTTATCGGGTCAAGTGCGCAAAATATTTTCTTCCCCGACTGGATTGTTTAGCGCCTGAATAAATTCCTGTCTCACCGGGGTTATATGCTTTATCCGTGCTAGGCGATATTGATAGCAAGCGCGCCCCAGCAGCGACTTAAACGCTTTTACTTGCGAATCTGATGACAGACAATTGTGAACTCTGTCTCCATAGATTTTCAAGTAGGGCTTCAATGGCTACTATTTTCTGCACTAGAGGGGAGATAGAAAATAGGGCCCTGGGCTAAGACATCCATCGTCGTACGATAAAGTGGCATGCACGAATGAAACGTTCACTGAATAACTGCAGCGCATACGCTTAACCCTGAAGGAAAATGAATACCCGGATGGATTCATTAAGACCAACATGGAGCAAAGGAGGAAATCTCCTGTAACCACCACAGCCGAAAAGAAACCCATTTCTCAACAATTACCGTACAAAGGGGAAATCGTACTTGGACTTCTAACTCGTGGTATTTCTCGCGCTCTCAGGTACACGTTCCCAGCAGCCAAAATGCAGATTCACTTCACCAGTATCCCGATGGTGAAAACTAATCCAAAAGACAAAACGCCTTTCCACGCCAATTCCATTCATTCACTTGTTCCTGTGGTTCAGGGTATATTGGCTTTACGACGAGGCGCCTGTCTGACTGGGGGTATGAACATCATCCGGCCTGGCTTGCGACTGGGTGTCGAAAGCTAACCAACTCATCCATCGCCACGCGTCCTGCTGAGACCAGCCATTCCCCCAACCTAGTCGAGGCATTCAACGTCATCTATCGACTACTCGAAAATCGATCAAAGTTCGTTCGAAAGCGTTTAGCGACCAGACTATACGAGCTGGAATTGTGCGTCCAGAAAAGATTCACTCACATACTGTGCTCGACTTGGCCCAAACGAATTGATCCGTCCAAACCGAGGAATTGAGCACGTGCTACAGCTGTGTCCTAGGGGCAGTGATTGACTGTGACCGGTGACTGTAAACTGAGTGCATTACCGTTCCTCGTGTTATGTGTCTATATTGGTGGTCGTATTTACATTGAAATTGTACAAGCCTGAGGAAGAGTTTTTGTAAACATACGTTCGCTTGATAACATTGCGCTTTCATAAATCACTGGAAGGTTTCAACCTGACCTGTCTTTATTCCGCTTTCGAAAACCTGTCTTCTTGTAGAGCAATTACACGCACAGCTCTACCGCGCCAGACTCTTGCCCGTACAGCAGGTAAAGTTCCAACTTTTTGGAGTTCATATCCTCAGTTGTGCTCTGCGCAGCGTTTGTTTAAAATTCTGCCATGTTCAAATAATATGAAGTGCCATCATTTGGTTTACATGAGCTCCGCGTAATTGCATGGATTCCCAATGCGCTATTAACTAAATCCCGTATGCATTGCCTTAATGGCTAGGTGGTTTACATATGTGATATGTCATAATATTGGTCAAATATACTATTCACTCCAGATCCCGCTTTATTGTTATTTGGTTATTTACAATTTATTGGCATGTCATGTGTTTCGGTTTGTGTGTCGAAAGACGGTTCCGTTCATTGGGTGCGCAATACGTCTGCCGGCCCAGTCCTTCAGCGACCGGATGCTGCGCAGTAAGGCTTATCGTTCAGTAGATAGTTCAGTAACTCTTATACCACTATGGGATGTCTGATTTTCGCAGGTGTAGGTGCGCTTGTAAAACGATGAATTAATAAATTGTTGAGCTTCTGAATGCAGTGACTACACGATTCGTAATTGTCGCTTAGCTACTGATACTAGTTGCTTCATATCGTCTGTTAGCCAATCTGATTTATTCTTCTAACTACGGTCACAAATTCAAAATTCGGAGTGGAATCGCTTTCCGCCCCTATAAATCGACCTATGAGAAGCACTTTGGTAGACGAAGCCAGTCCGAGACTGACTTTGTCCCGCCTAAGTAGGCGCAAATGTTTGAAGATCCACGTCCGTTCAGACCTGGATCTAGTGGAACGGGAATCACCGAAGTCTGCCATCGTTGAGCTAAAAAGAAGTATTGGTGAGGGGAGCAGAAATCTCCGTATGGTAAATTCCTGAGTGATTTCCAAGTATCTGCGAATCAGGATAAACTAGTTGCTCACACTTCAAGCACTCCCGGCGGTTTTTGCCGAGGCCTGTCCGTAGTCTTTGTCAAGGTTTGCACTCTTATGAACAATCACGATGAACTCGGTCGTTTCGCTGCATCTGAGTGGCGATACGTAGTTGGAGTCACAGAGACATGGCTGCATTCAGAGGTAAACATCCAGGGAATTGAACTCAGCGGCTGCCCGTGCTTCCACTGTGATAGACTAACGAATGCACACTGTGGCGTCTTGGTCTACATCCGGTCCTCCCTGTGTGGGCTTGTGTGTACCTGCTGAAGTGGCGATGGTCTGTGTGAGCTACTTCGGTGCCCCATACACCTCAGGCACGGGGAGCTACTTCTGGGCGCAGTCCATCGCAGCCCTCTGAGTAGTTGTTTGGATTGACCGCTCAATCTTCCAACACACATGAACCGTCCACAGTTACCACTTATGAGTGATTTTGACTTTCCTCAACTACAATGGCTTGGTGTGTAGTTGTTGCCTGGACTCGGTGAGGTTGAATCAAAGTTGTGGATCTTGTACTAGAAACTGTGCATCGCAACACCTGTGCCAGTCAACACGCACAACACCACGTTCAACCCCTTCCTGTCTCTACCTGATGTTGACGTAGTTCGAAGCATGAGTGCATGATGTTCGGATGCTGCAACCCCTGGCTACAAGCGACCATTCAGTGCTCATAGCTGACATGGAATTAGCTTTGCCGTATTCACATCCGTTGGATCTAGCTCACAACTAATGGAAAACTAACTTCGGCTGTCTAGCTCGAGCCGCGAGCCAACTGGTTTGGCCTCTGTCACAAGCTGCATCTGTGAAAGACGGTCGTAGATTTATAAAATAGTGGTTGACATCCTTGTGTCCCCAAATTGTGCGTTTGAAGTGTCGGAAGGTTGGACCGATTAAGCTTCAATGGTTTGACAACGAGTATAGAAATTCAGCTCGGAGGCGGTGGAGACTGTGGAACAGATTCCTTCTCTCTAGCTCTGCTAATGACTACGAAGCGTATAAAAGTCATAAAAACAGCTAAAACAGTGCAAAAAGAAACAAGCTTTGACGTTTCAAAGAGCATCTCACAATCGCTGCAAAAACCGCTCCAAAGAGACTTACTGCTCACCTGAAGCGACACCTGAGGCCGGCAGATGATGTGTCAGTGCTAGGTGGCCCATACGGACAGTCCCTTACCTCCAGCACTGAGCGTGCGTCCACGCTGGCGGCATACTTCGATTCTGTATTTGTAAATGACCAGGTGTATGTCTTGATTTCGAGGTGTAAAGCTTTTATCGAACTCGACGGTTTGGATTGTGACGTTGAAGTATGTCAACTACTCGGTAGCCTTGACGGCACCAAACATGCATTACCTGATGGCTTCCAACACATATACTCAAGTCACTCTCGGCCATCATCTTTCCTCCCGTGACCAACCTTTTCAACGGATCACTATCCAAAGGTTTAGTGACGACTGGATGGAAATGTTCGGTGGTGAAGCCTATTCCAAAAGAAGGCGGCCCTAGCAAAGTAGACAACCACAGTCCCATTTGCCTGATACCTAATTTGGCAAAGATTGCTGAAAAATCGTGAAGAATTTATTGCTGCAGTTGCTATACTCAAAAGAGGTCCTAACTACCGCACAGCATGGTTTGATCAAGGCCGCGCATACGTTACAAACTTGCATGTGACGAGGCATGAGTGGCGGCAGGCAATAAGCAATGGTAAGTCCGTCGACGTACTATTCATCAGTTCCAGTAAAGCTTTCGAAAACGTCAGCCATAAGGTCCTCCTTCACAAACTCAGTAGGTGTTATAGCGGTGCCTTACTGCACCAGTGGATCCAGGACTTTCGTGTTGGACGAAAGTCAAGGGTACAGGTCAACGACCAGCTAGCCGTGTGCCTTGTTTGCGAATGACATGACGGTTTGGAGAGGAAATAAAAATCCCGACGACTGTGGCGTACTTCAGTAAGACCTCAACCGCCTATCCACGTGGTCTGCAGAAGTTCATCTCCACGTCAACCCAGACAAATCCGTACTTATGAGTCTGGGGTATGGTGCTGACGGCCGAACTTACACCCTTGACGGCAACCGCTATATCCCACACCCTCCGTGAAAGACCTAGGTGTACTCTCACGCTACGATTTGAAGTCCGTGGACAACACGAACAGGCTATATCGTAACGTACTGCGCATGCTTTGGGCGCTCAAACGTAGCTTCGGCACATGGTCTGAAGGGGTTGCCAATCGCATATTCCTTTCCATTATTGGACTAATGCCAGAGTACGGTTCGCCCGCTTACTTTCCGCTTACTCGAACGGAGGCACATAAGATGGAACGGGTTCAACATGTTACTACCAGACTCATCCCGAGTTTACATGGATTAGGGTATAAAGACCGGTACGAAAGACCAGGAATCTACATCTTGTCCTACCGTCGGGCTCGAGTCGGCCTCATTATGACCTACCGTATTCTACATCTCGGTGACTACCCCATGCTGAGACCAGTGGTTCACTTACGAGGGCCATGCATCAAACGCGGACACAGATACAAACTTGTCGTGCCGGATGTGAACCGGGTTCCCCATCCATAGTGCTTCGAACGGAGAGTGGTACATATATGGAACTGTTTACCCGAACATATGAAGGAGGCCACATCTGTGCAGCAGTTCAAAACGTTGTTGGGTCTACATTTCACCACTATTCGATTCAGAGAATGATTGCACATTTATGATGAGATCTCACAACTGTGAGTCATGCACTACCGTGATTTTAGATATTGCAGTTACATGCGAACGATAACAATATATTCAGGTGAAAAAATTTAATTCCTTTGCCACCCTATTTCGAAAGAGTCGTACAAACTTCATTGCTACTTGCTCCACACTACAGTATTCAGTAATGTCGGTCTCGTTAGCTAACACCAATGCTTACTAGGTCTACTTGCACTCCGTAGCTGGGTGATGTGTATTCAAAATATTGCCGATAGAAGACAGGTAGCAGAGAGAACTTGATAACGTTGATACCCTCTACAATTGCTAACTTGCGCAACTAAATCCGAAATATGCTTGTTGTATTTTTTCCTTCCGATTTGAAGTAAATCCTTTTCTCAACAGGCGAGATGAGTTGGATCTAAACGGTTGGATAGGAATTTGCAGGAGTTTGCTCTGTTCAAAAAGACGATAAAATCCTTTGTATGTGACACAAAGCGTGGTATTTAGTTATTAAATTCAAACACACTCCGCATAAGCGATGCCGGCTGGCATATGTAAAGGCATGTATATACCACAGTAAATATTTATGAGGATACCCGTGTCTAGCTGTAAAAGTTGGTAACTGGTACATTAATAGTAAGCTCAGGGTGATATGCCTAAAGCCTTTGTATCGTTCTGACCTATCTTCCCAGGCCGTATCCATCAGAGGGGCAATATAATCTCGTAGATTTTAGTTAAGACCGGTACAGTCTTGAGCTCTGCGTAGAACTACGGCGTTACAACATTTGGTTCCTTGAGAGTAAACTAAAATGGATCTAAAGCTAAGCTTCACTGTATGCTTTGCTACAAGTAACCGCATGGTAGCAAACTGTTGAGTTACAGATGCTTCCAGTGAGATCCTTCAGCGCAAAGATGAGAAAACAAACTAGCGTTTGGATAGAAAGATGCAAAAAATCATTCCGTGTCAGCGTTAGTTCCTTGCGTGTTTCCCTAATGTTTGTTACCTACATGCAATAAATTTCTAGGTTGTGTTGCGTCACAGAAGATGGTTTGGCCCAATGACAAACGACCGGGGGTTAGAGGCTCCCAGTGTCACATTAGCGAACAAGTACTAAAACTGTATTTTACTGTACATACTCAAGGTTATGCAAACAGACAGCGGAGGAGTGCTGAATTTTGGGCTTAAGCTCCAAAAATGTTAAAATAAATAGGTAACAAGCACTCGGTTAAGCGCATCGCAATGAGGAAGGAGCGATTAGCCCCTCAGTGGTCAGACGTAAACTTAGTATTTCTTCCTAGGAGGCAGCATGATCCGACGCCATAGAATTTAACCAGAACAAGTTAAAATACTTCAAAATTATCACATGTACAATAGGTTTCGGGTGGTCACTCACTGTTTGAAAGATCATCACAGGTTTCCCTTGGAATGGCGCTTAATTCACTCATTTGGTGCAACCAGAAACGGCAGCCATCAATTTTCAACTTTCTGGAAGACTGAATTTCCGTATCCAAAATCAAGTACTCGCCCGACTTAGCAGAAGTTGAGATGGGACGATATTTCGGCCATCTCACCGGACTACTGGTACCATTATCGTTCAAGTTTGGGTCACTAGTATACAAAAAGAGGGCAATATTAACCAAATGTACATATGATACAAGCTAAAAGATTAATTGCCGCATCGATAATTATTTCCACTCGGACACATTTTATTTCAAAGTAGTTAGTGCTTAGTGCGACTAAGTGAAGCTCAGCAAAGTACACTTCATCCTTCTAACAGTACACTTGCAGATATTTGGACGGTACTAAATAGACGACCAGGAAGCTAGTCAGAGAGCCTCTGTTCATTATGTGCAAATCTCATACCTCCAGACATTCCGATATCTTCTACGCAGCTTAATTCTGAACATGTACAGGTTTCATAACCGCTGGCGCTCCAGCACGGAGTAGCTGGTCCGCTTTGTTGAATTTCAGTAATGACACATGGTAAAGAGTTGAAATCAACCGATGACGACTGTCAGTCTTCTTTGTGAGGAACAGAAAGTTGATCAAAACCTGGAAGTCTCATTTCTTTGGCCTAGCACACTGGGCAACGGGCTGCAACAAACAGAGATTATTAGTGGGCAACTTGATTAACACGAGAGTGTTTACTCAATGGCAAAACTTGTTTTTTTCAAGTTCAGTCAGAAGTTACTTTTACAGTTAATCGCATGATTATTTGCATGATTATGTAAGACGGCCTCAAGAAGGTTCGAAGGAGAATAAATCAGGAACTGGGATTGTAATCTGAGTGTGAACAGTTATGGTGTTTCAATCTGGGTTATCTACATATTTACTCCAAGGCAGTCAATAATTTTCGAAAAAATAGTACATTGAAAAGACTTACCCTCGCTTTGCAAAATTTGTCCACATTTTCATCATCATGTCGCTAAGTTGCCTTTCCTCATCGTTGAACCTATAATACTGGTCTTGAAATCTCTCTGAACGTGGCATGCCAAAAACATACTCAAGCTCGTAGCCATGCATGACACCGGCCCACTCTGGCATGGTGGTTGAATTTGTCCTTCTGCGGAATTCGTACAGAAAAACTTTGGATTTGTCCATTTTTGCCACAAGTTCGGCGTAGTTCAACGTAGGACACACGAAGTCGGCGTCACCCGAGAGAAGATCAAGCCGCTGCATCAATTCCTCGCCAGACATTTGTATCGTTTCTGGGTCAGCATAGCCCATCGTGGAGTTTGTCTGAACTGGCAGACCGTAGAATAAGGCTGGCAACTGTGTGATTCCATTGATCAAATACTTCTCATCTAGTAGCTGCGCCGCTGTGATACGGTGGAAGTCTGCCAGAGATTTCAAAGATTTAAGAGGCTGACGCTTTCCAGCAAGTCGTACTCCCTCCGGTAGGTTCACTGTGCCGTTGGGGTACAGAAACTGTGAGTCCCGTATTGCAAGACCATACATCAGGAAATACATTCCTTCGTTTTTGTTCACACCTACAAGTAACTCGGGGGCATGTTTGAGTTTGGAAAAGTGCGCTTGAGATAGCATTACATCTGGAGGTGCGGGTAGTAAAAATCCATCGACAATTGGTGGGAGTGGGACATCAAAGTAGCTTCGACTTGAGACAGCCCAGCTGAGCAATTCGGGATCCGGTGGATCTGAAGCATTATTTAATGTCCTCAATAGTGTTTGAAGTCGTCGCTCACCAATAGCCGCAGCTATAGAGTCCAGGTTGTTTATAAGAGTAATTGGATCCAAGCTCTGCAGACATTTTATGCTTCCTTCACGACTAATTGATGGAGGTTTGCATCCACAGGCTACAGCAAGCTGGAATAGGAGTGATATGGGCTAAAACCATTGAAAAGTTGTCACACTTTTAAAACTTTATGAATAGTTTTATGTCAAGTTTATGAACTAGGTAGTATCAGAAGCGCCAAGTTCCGAATTAAGCTCAAGTTATACGACGGAAAACACCTAGATTTTCAACGTTTACTCTGTGAGTCAGATGAGAGAATGCCAGCGACTTGTTCTATGCTTATCTGACATAGGGCTAATAACTTCTTGGCTTTAATTCCTTCCAGATTAAGTAAGAATATAGTATAGCGGTATTTGGGATCTTAGAATCGTACTATCCTACTGTGCACACATTAGCTTTTAACGATTCCAAAAAACCCTGGATGATAGATAGAAACAAGTTTCATATCTTTTGAGTTTCGAGCAGATATGAAGTTTTCGTTTCTGCAGCGAACTTGTACTAAGAAATTCCCAATGAGATGTTACCAACACAGGAAGATAAGTGTGGTTTCTACTGCGCTGTCAAAACCTGGATATATATTTTCAGTATTCAAGATAAGCCTCGTCATGAGCGTCCCAAACCTCAGCTGACCCATGAGGTGGATCGGCAAATGTTTACTATTATGATTGTTCAGATATTCCATATCTAACGGGAGCAAATATGGTTTGTTACCTCGATTATTCTGGACATGCGCACGCTTTCAGCAAAGGAGGTGCCAAACCTTTTGACTAGTGATCAGAAACAGAAGGGAGTTGAATCATCCGGAAACTTTAAGCTCCGTTCTAAGCAGCACGGATTTTTGAATGGGTTAGTAACTGAAAATAAAATATGGCTATATATGTAATGCTGAAACCATGGAACAGTCAGATGAATGATGCCACAATGCGTTCCGCAGCCGATGCATTTTCGCGCCCAGAAACCAGACAAAAAGACGGCGTCCGTCATCTTGGACGAGGACAATTCTGTTGATAGATTACATTCCTTAGGGTTCGAGTGTCACAGGGCAGGTTAAGCTAATCTCCTGCACCAGCTGTGGAGGACGAGTGGTGGGATACGCAGTGGCAAACTGTCTAATGATTCCACCATTTCTATCCACTTTATATGTTCCCATCCGACTAGTATTTCTACCGAGCTTGAAGGGACAGCCGAATAGGTGAAATTCTGAAGACATTTCTGACGTCAAACTTGCTGATGACAGCTTGCTTGGGGCGCAATGAAATAGCATTCGCCAGCTTAGACTAGAAAAATGCAAATAAGCTATAGTAAGTGCATCGGTCTCAGGGGTGATTTTTAAGAAATATGTCATCTCATAACTCTGTCTCTCTCATTTCTGGTAAAAGCCAGAAAAGTGTAAGCACTGCTTCCGTTTTGGAAAAAGCAGGAACTTCATATGTTAGGTTGATGATGACAAACTGGCTTATGCTTTGGAATACTCGACTCTGTCAAACAAGACATTGAATAGATGCATGAAAACTAGTTACTTTGTTGAGGAATAGTCCTTACGACGACTTCCAGGATAATTATAGATGGCTGCTTAGCTGTCAAGACTCGTCAGCGTATTCCATGTGACTGGCTACATGATAGAACCTGTTACTCTTGTAGTCAGAAGCTAACTGCATTTGGCTACCGTGGATGTGTCCTAAAGTGCATGTGATTGATGTTCTCCGAAAGGATGAAAACAATATCCACTGCTCTTTCGACACTGTGATGGCTGTCTAACTGAGTTTAGGTGAGACGGATTGCAGCTGATTTTGTGTGACCTGGAACTAATACAGGAACTACAACTCCGACGGGTACTCAAAATTTTCCCTGAACTACTTCTTAACTGTTTGTGGCCGTCATGAAGAAATAGTTTGTATGAAGATATGATCATCTGCATTAACTTACGAAGGCAATGCGGCTGAAGTTAGGGGTAAGTGATAATTTCCCACTTTAGTTTACAAGCAAATGAAGCAAGTAGCCACTCGGCTTAGCCTAGCTCGTCTGTGCCACAACCTGGTTGTTCTTCATTGAAGGCCATCCGGACGTCGCTTGCCTGGAATTCGTCAGCAACTTCAATCAATTAGTTATGGATACCTCAGAGACAGGGGTTTTCAATGGGCCCAAAATCGTTTCTTTCGTGAGGAGCAGAACTAGAATATGGATAACTATACGCAACGCAGCCTGACGAGCGTACAAATCATGCCCAACGTCAGCTACTTGGGGCAAGTACGTAGGTCATTGTAATCACTGTGCTCGATTGTTCAGAGATAACAAAGTCACATGCAAGCAGTGTATGTAGAAAACTTTCACCGCTAACCACAAACTGCTGTATAAGCGTGTCAATGGACGTCGTAAGGTCAGGCAGGGAATTACTCCACTTCGGACAATTGAGAGTCCAATTAGAATAAACACAGAAGCAGCAACCGCTTTACGGACACAAAATGCTCCCGCATTTCAGAAGGTCTTACCATCAGGCCATCTGCCAACTTTGGTTTTTCCGCCTCCAGGACTCACCCACATCACTTTCAATGCCGGAGCTGTTTTGCGGAATCTGACGGCTCGGTGCAAGCACAGCTCCCCCCGGAGTCAACGCCATTCGCCAAGATGCACTGGGAATAACGGCAAAACAACTGCAAAGACCATTGTCACTGTTCTTCCAGGGCTGATTAGACCATAACAAGCTTCCTGCGACGTGAAAATTGGAATAATAACTCGGATTCACAAAGGCGGGAGCAGGACTGAACCCTCAAACTACCGCCCACTGTCCCTTCTCCTTGTATTATTCAAGGTCATGGCATCCATCGTGGCCGATGCGTTGGTGTGTTATCTAGAAAATTGTAACCTTATTGTTCCCGTGCAACACGGCTTCCCTCAATAGCGATCATGCACGACGAATTTATTATTTGCGCGGAGTAGTCGGACCGCATCAGCTGACGCTGGAGTGGCCCTTGATGTGATCCACTTGGATTTGTCAAAGGCGTTCAATCATGTAGATCATCGAGTTCTCCTTTCCTAGCTTTACTATTACCGGATCGGTAACCCTCTCTTGAGTCGGATCGTCAAGTTTCTCCTGCAAAGATAATTGGTAGTGTGAGTCTGGTTTTCCCTATCTTAGCCCATACCAATAGAGTAGAGTGTGCCCCTGGGCTCAGTTATAAGTCCACGGTTGTTTTTGGCATTTATCAATGACCTTGCACTAAATATCGCACCAAATTTTCTGCGGTTTGTTGACGATATCAAGCTACGTCTTAGCATTCAGGCGGATGCCGTTTAGAATTTACTTCAGTAAAAGCTAGATATGGTTCATGCTTGGTCAACCTGAAATCTGTTACAGTTCAACGTGAACAGATGCAAGGTACTCTTCATCCGACACCAGAGTATTTATTTTGAACTTGGAACTGTTTCAAACTAACTTGGGTTGTTCCAAGCAATCCACAAAGGCCTTTAAACTGGTAGCCAGCGCGTCAGCTTGCTAGGACAAGCGTTCGGACAACTAGACACCACTATTTTTAGACCGATGCTGAATGCGTATGCTCGTCCCCATGTCGAATATGCAATCCAAGCCTGGCATCCATGGCTGGAACATGACTTTGCTGCACTAGACTAACCTCAACGTCGGGCTTCTAAATACGTTATTTGAATGCGCCACTTCCTCTACCAGCAGGGGCTGAAACGTTTGGGAGTACCCAGCGGACGGTATCGCCGACTACGAGGCGTTTTGATTTTGACACATTTGATTTTACATCATCCAGGTCATGTATGCCACGCTTTATTACAACTCAGCAGTAATATCAAACTTAGGGGCCACTCCTTGAAATTAGCAGAACAATACAGCCGCCTGGCATTTCGTGGAAACTGTTTTCCATTCGTGTGTGTCAACCATGGAACACTCTCCCGGAATCTGTTGTTTCAACACCTACGCTGGCCATATTTAAAAGTCGATTGTATGACGCACTCCGCCACTTACATTTTGTTACTTGACGCTACTTGCTATCCTACTCCCGGGAAATACCTTGGATGTACTTTTATTCGCCTACTGGAGCTATGGAAACGCTCGAGGTGCAAGGTTAATGAATCACAAACGATAAATCCATTCTTTGGACAGTACAACTATCAACTGCTATTTTCCTTCACGTTTTTCGTTAACCCAGCATGCCGCCCAACAGGGCCTGCAAAGCAATGCTTCTTAACCCGTATAAAATCACTATTCATTGTTCATTGTTCGGTGTCAGCGAGATGTTGTGGACCACAACTGGGATTGCTTTGGTATTAGGAATGCGCTGCATAATGAACCCATCGCGTGACTTTCGAGAAATCAGTCTGAACATAAAACAGCTCGGAGACATATTTGGATTCCGATGCATACATCCCGTTGGCAATGCATGAAACCGGTATCGTACACGGCATAGCTGGTCAGCATACAGTTGACACGAAGCAGGACATCCTATACCTGGCCTTTACCGTATGCACTTAAGTGCTCCCCGAACGGGCATAACTAACCAAGAACAGGCACAAGAACGATCGAGGAAGTATGCTTAACTATTTCAAGTGTAGTCAAGTTGTGAATGCTAGATCGCCAAGAGGTTTATTGGGGTACAGCGCTTTTCTGAACCTTTGTTAAATCCCATATCACTGTTTGTCCGGCTTTCGAGTTACGATGGATGCATTCAATATAACTTGATGGACACATTATCAGGCTGTGCCGATCTTGTCTTTATGGAATATATGATGCGCTGTCTGAGAGTCTCCGAATAACAAATACATATCCAATAAAAATAAATCCACTTTTTGGTCACCTACCTAAGGAATCTTCCATACAGTGTTTAGCCATTTAGCGGTTTCATTTTCAAGAATAGCTTACGACGTTTTCAAAGCAATACCATTCTACTATCGCATCCGATACCTAGTGAACTATATGCAAGGTTTAATCTTCATAAATATATCGTTTATAATAATTGTTTGTCAACATCTACTCACAGGGTATCATTGATGAAGGCCTGGAACTATTTTGCACTGACCATTCCGTAAGTAAACAAAACAACAACTTTACTAGAGCTAGCGTACCGGATGTTCTAGGAAACAGCAAGATTACATTTGTATTTTGCTAATTGATTCAATCGTCATAATCAGCTGTCTACTGTACAATCCGCTCATCATGGAAATCATACATGTAAGGTATGCTACTGGAACACGTGAATGTATTTGAATGGTGATAAGGATCACTGCCATCATCGCTAACCTACTGTGTTTACATACGACGCTTGACGAGTCCTTTGAACTAGCTAAGCAGCGGCGTCAAATACGATGACATTGCCAATTGTCACACTTAATAGTGCCTACGTTTATCTCTAACGCTTCAGCATGTTCGTTTGGCATTGTATGATTTACCCACCTAAATACAGCCCGTTTCTAGTCCCAGTACCTTTGTGCTGAAAACCTAGATATCTAACATTTACTGCGTTTGGTCTGTTAAATACGATTGTATTACATTAATTCTTTAATTGGTGTAAAGATATTCGAATCTAAACTATCTGACTTAGATGTCGGTGAAGTGTGACAGATTCCTCCACTAATATTTTGCTTCATCTATCTATAACTATAGTTTGCAGGTGAACTGTGTCTACGATGCAATCGCTTACCAACTCGGTACATTACCACTAACGAGTTGACTTTGAGAAGTCGTTCCAGCGGGTTGTGAATGCTTATACTCTCAGTCGTTTCAACCTGTCCGATTTACACTGAGCCCTGTCCAACGCGTTGACATGGAATATTCTGTCAAGTGATTATATAAATGTGTCAAAATGACACTCGTTGTTCGGTAAGGTTAGCGCAGACACCGACGAAACGGTTCTGTAGACTACACGTCGTTCAGCGTAAGTGCTTTCGCATTTGCAACAAGACTTAGTAGTCAGAGGACTTATCAGCCATTTTTGTTTATTTGAATCTACGTGAACAAATGACATAAAATATTACGGGCTCAATACCTTTGACATAGAACGCTGACGGAAAATAGTTTGTTCATGTCAAAATTTGCAGCTAACAGGATAAATAGTGCAAGCGATAGCTCATTGCACTGACTAATTTCTGGTTATGTCTACGAGCACTCTCCATACCCCTAAAGCGGCACAGATGTGATTAGGTGTAAAATAAATTTCACACAAAAACAGGGAGAGGACAGGAAGCACGAATGCATCTCATTTGATGTTACTACAACAGGAAATTTACTGATTACAAATATTATGAAAAATAAAGGCAACGAGGCATTACTTCCTTTAGATGTTCGATTATTTCGCTAATAGTATGTGTAACAAAATGTAACTGAAATAAATCATCGTGAATCGCAACGAGGTGTTAGCTTAAATATTTATTGGATATGTCATTTGCGTTAGCCTACCTCGGAACTCCGGTTGTTCGCCTCATCCGTGTTGCTAAGTCCCCATCGAGCGTATGCGCTCCCCGAGTGGATAATTGCACGCCGAAAAAATCTTTGAGCCAAAGGAGAAAGCCATAGAATCGAAACACTCACGGCGCCAGCGGATTCACCGAATATGGTTACCTGGTTTGGATTCCCGCCGAAGTGGATGATGTTTTCGTTTGTCCATTCCAAAGCTAAAAGTTGATCATACAAACCTTGATTTCCGAGAGCAATTGTATTGACATCAGACACATTGTTTCTTATTTTGCTGGTGGTACCGGCCTCCGGATCAAGCCTCAAGAATCCGAAAGCACCTAGTCTGTATTGCATGCTGAGTACAATCACTTGTTGAGTCGCAGCTAGCACAGAGCCATCGTAGATATCCAGCGTTGAGCTACCAGTAGTGAATCCACCCCCGTAAATCCAAACCAGCACAGGCAATTTTTGATCATGTTTTGCCGGGCTCCATATATTCAGATACAGGCAATCTTCACTCATTTCTGTGTTATTCAACCACATTCTTGCAGCAGGATTTTGCAAATCAAATTCACCCGGAAGGTATTGCCAGCAAGTTAATGGTCGTGTGGTGGCGTTCTTCACGCCAGACCATCCACCATGGGCCTCTGGAGCAGCAAATCGGCGTATTCCGACGGGTGGCTTCGCGTAAGGCACACCCAGAAATGTGTCAATGTCACGATTATTTCCATCTACGCTCACCGTCTGCCGGAAACCACGTACTTGCCCTCCATGCGATAGTGTCCTTATCACTTCCTCCTCACCGGAGGAAAGGTAGAGACAGAAGGTCAAAAGGGTTAAGCACTCACTTTTCACTGCAACCATTATCGAAAGCCAGATAAGTTGCTTAGGTCATGACAGTAATTTCAGCTTGTGGACTTGGAACAATGAAGCAGCTTTATTACAAACAAACTGTGAACCAATAGTCCCTTGATCTGAGCAATTGTTATATAATTGGAACATGCCTGAGCCAATCACATTTCAACGTTGGCGGATAGAGATAAATACGATGACCATATTGCTGGTAGCTTTGGAATAAGTTTAGGAAGTAACATCATCCATGGTTTATCATTAAGTGCACACCCAGCGATTCAGTGAGAGTACTTATCTTCTGCGCGTTCCCTTACGATAGTTTGGAAACTAACCAAATTCAATTAAGCACGAAGGGAAAGAAAGTATCTTAAAATGAGTGATAGAAATGTCTGTCCAACTGTCTGACATACCCCGTTGATTGAGGAATGAAGTTGCAGTTGTAACGGCAGATAAACATTAATTGCAGCATTGGAGGTGGAGTTTTTGAGCTCATTTCTAATCAACTGCCAGAGCCTCCTTGAGTTATAGAACGTTAGTTGACCATTGTATAAAATTTTGTCTAGCAAAGCTTTCTACTTTACGCAAGTCGCACTAATTTTTATATCTACCAGATACAACCGATTAGGATGTTTGACCTTCAGGCTTGATGACCTTAACTGTAAGTGAGTCGCAAAATAGCGACTGCCTTTTTGATCAGTGCCGTTCCGCAATCAGGCGCGTGCCAGCGCCGACAATAATTTTGAAGGGCATTGAATTGGTAATAAGAAAGTGAGGACGTCCAGTAAAATGCAGAGTGGTTTTAGCCACACATAAAACTCCACTAGATATGTTGATCGGTTTGTCTTTCATATGACCAAGCGTGATATTCAAATATACCCAAAAAGACATCTAGCCTTAAGATACAATTAAGGACATTCGTTTGTTGCTCATTATACCAGACTGTGGTGCAGAAGGCACATCATCGCGGCTTTAGACTATCCGTTATCGCAACCGAGCATCAAAACATCAATTTGTCCCAGTGTCTATGAATAAGCGGAGAAGTGATGACCAGCTTCTGTTTGTTCCGAATCGACTCTACCGCAAGTGACTCACTATGTTTCACAAAGTCTAGCTACCGTCTGCCGAATTTTCGTGATTCCAATTTCCTCGCGATATACAGGTCATTCATTATTCAGAAAATGGTTGCGACATACATGCCAGTTTAATACGATATGAGCGAAAAGCTAATATAACTGATAAAGAGCTAAGCCATGGCACAACTACGGGTTCAGACTAAGTAAGCTTAAGCTCAGAAGAGGCTGCAAAAGAAACGACTCGAAAGTTTTTTAGTCTATTTGCTAGGGGTGTTTCATCAAGTAAAGCTTGTTAAGTTTAACTTAGTATCCAAGTACTTATGCCATGTTAAACTAAGATATATAATCACCCGTAAAAGTAACGTATTTGTCAAAATCTAAAAGTTGTCCGATCTAATACATGCAGGCTTCTGGTCGGTGAGTTAACACCACATTGTAAACGGCACCCACTCATCTGCCCTCTATGTCTCGTCGCTCAGTAGGATGTAACTTGAATACAAGTGGATAACGATGACGTGTTAGCGGAATGCGGAATGACCGGGAAGGCGGAGCCAGTTAGACCCAAGTATTGTTGAAAAGGCCACAAGGAGTGGAGAACAAATTAGCAAGAGCTGGGAAAAGCATGCAGCGCTATTCACCGGGTAGAATTAGTTAATGGTATCTGCAGTCAGTTAATCAGGGGAAGGGTTGGAAAATGCAAAGAAGACAAATTCCAGTGTTACAAAACAGTGGAAGAGTAAGTGTCATGAGTTCACTAAACTCCAACTGCCCAGAGATGTATTAGAAGAAAGTAAGCAACTTGTCGTTCATCACTTTGCATAACTTAACGACGAAAAGAGTCGAAAGGCGCGCCTCATAGCACAAGTTCCATTTCCAACTGTACGCATTATTGAAACTTTGAGATGTGATTTTGAGACTGGACAAGGCACTGTACCGGTCTAACTGGTAAGACCTAGTTATGTTCAGTGCTGTTAGCACCTTCGTTTGTACTAATAATATAGCTACATATATTTACAACTGTTTGAAATCGGGAGGCTCATTTATCGAAAGTTGAGCATTAAATGAAGTTCCGTTTATTAGTTATTGACACTCTACGTGTTCACATGGATTTTCTGAAAAGCGATGACCCCGAATAGAGGGAGGAATAAAACGCGGGGTCGATGAGCTGAATCTCCATTAAGTGAACAAACAATCGACCGTGATTAAGCAGCAGGAAAGGAAAAACAAGTTAGCATACGTTTATTCAATGCTTCTAGACTAGGTAAAGCTAAAAATATCGCCCCAGTCCGTAGATTGTCTTTGGCAGCCGCTAGTGTTCCTTTCAGGAAAAGCACGTGTTTGTGTCGACGCAAATAAACGTGGGATATATTCGTATAGCTGAACTGTCTTATTCTCTACCAGCATAATGAAACCTTTATTTTGAGTATTGTACACAGCAGTGCGCATCCAGCGGAGAAACTCCACAGGCCGCCACAGGATGCTTGTTATGCCAGCTGTAAACGGCTTGGAGAAGTCGTCATGTTTGACATCAAAGGATACGGTTTTACATAACACACAGCGGTTTTTCCTTTACAAACCATTTCATCATTTGTTTTACTGGATCAATTTTAGTGCAATAAATGTTGTTTCAATCTGTTGATCCCTCGATCTTTCCCCGAGATAGGTTGACTAGGGGCAACTTTATCTATCATCCCTATGGGCAAAGAGCGGCGTAAAGGTGGTAGCCGCTTGGTTCTTACATCACAGAAGAGTTTAAATGATCATGATTTGTAGAAAATGAGGGATTTGTATAGTTGTTAATAACTTACCAGACCATAAGATGATTGAATATATTATTTCCTTGGCCTATGCCTCAAACGTTTGTGGTATGATTCGATGGAACATTCACCACTGTATGACACACTGTGAGTTGCCACTTGTTGAGTAAAAACACAAATCAGGAAAGCTTTAAAAGGTTGTCAAGAATACGTTGGCGAAAGTAGAAGCGCCTTTCTGACATAAAAGCAGGGCTTAGGCGCTGTTCTTCCAATAAGCCAAAAAGTTCTCCGGTTTAGTTCAGCAACAAAAATTCCTCGCGTTGACCTGGGGAACCATGTTGCAACAAAGAGAGTTTATGGGTGCAGGTTTAATTGCCTCATAACTGAGTTGACCACCTTTTAACATTGAAGACAGAGTAGATAATGTTAAAGTCCACCGTCGTACTAAGTCCGGACGCCAAAGCTAGTGATAGCATGGCGAATGAGTTGCAGCTAGATACATAGGTGTTCTTCAGTGAATCGATTTCACAGATGTCCAACTACACAACAACTTCAATTATGTGCTATGATTTGATACGTAAACCAAAGTTCTTGAGGTTGTTTCCCACTGTCGTAGTCTGGAATATTTGTGCGCTTCTTGCTACAACCCTGTCCCAATTATAAATGTTTGTCCTTCACTTTATCACGCATTTGCAACCGGAGTTGGAATGCGATATCTGTGGGGTCGGCAGGGTTTCATAAAAAGCGAGACGGTTTTCACTAGCACACTGGGCTTGACCAACCAATTGAAAGTCTCCTACAAGACTCGATACAAATCTGGGTTTTATTAGTACTAACCAGTATGGCTTGTTTTCCCTAGAACAGCGTATTTCCCTCGTTGATATGACCATTGCGTTGAGAAGAAATGCCAGAGATCCTACCAAATAGCCACATGCGTAGCTTTGATCAAAGGATAGTCCAAAGCTGTTACAAGACAGGATTACTTAGCGGAAACCATGGCACAGATTATACAGACCCTGTTCCGATGCCCTGTCTTTTCCACAAAAGATGAGCTGTCAGCTAAGCGAAATTATCGCAAGAGTGCGCTGATTTTCGTTTTAGTCCATGTTTCCCCATTTAAGCTCCTCTATTTGTTGGTCGGCACAATTTCGTTAGCATTGTTCAAACATATATGAATGAAAAAGAGCATTTTGGTTAGTGCCCTAAAGGAAATCCCTATCCGGTATGCACAATCTTGTTGCTAATGGATCGCGCAATACTGGCCCTGGTTTTACGGACTCCAACTCGATGGGCATGTTGGCCTGCCTCTGTCTCACCACTTTCCCGATCGGTGAGTTATCATGCTGACTTTGGCTCTCACTCTCATCATCTGCCCACTTTTTCTAATAATCCGTCGGTTAGATTATCCATTACGCACGACTACATTTGCTTCCTAATATGGGTACATCTTTACGTGCCCTGTTCAGAGCTGGTTTTTCGTAGTCCTATGAATGACAAATATGGATCATTATACGGTGTCTAACATCTGTGTAAAGCTGTAAAATTTGAACAAGTAGGTTAAACGACAGGCAAATTAAGGTTATTTTGTAAAACTTCAGTTGCCTTGATCTGTGGAAACCATGAAGCAACTCTTCCGTAAACTGTTGTGTATTCTACCTGGAAGCTGGGATATACAAAGCTCGCTATGGAGCCAAGCTCGTCATCACGCAGCAGTTCATCTTTAGGCGTTTTTAGTATCCCGGTTCCCCCAGCTTATTTAATTTTACTAGGGTATAGGGAACTCAGAATAACAACATCCAACAAATCTAGTGGCCCGGATGTCTTATCCATAGTCGTTTTGACGAAGTGTACGGTTGTTTTACATTTGCATCTGACAGAGCTTTTCGACCGATACTTAACAAATAATACAGACCTTTGAAAATAGAAAACAGGAAAACTGCAAATTGCCTCAGTTGAAATGATAGAAGTCCCGTTCGACTGCTTGCACGTCCCTGCTGATGAAGGTGTTTGAAAATCACTCACTCCCAACAACTTCACAGACACTCGTGCTAATGACGTCAGCCAGTTTGCTTATACGCCTGGGAGACCTACAACGGACGGTGTTTCGTATATTATGCATTAGGTGCGTCGGATGAAAATGCAAAGACGTACGATGGCTGTCCATCAATGACACACTCCTTTGGAAGCAAAGACCATGCTGACGCTGCAGTTTGTAAAAACGTTATGTTGGGAATCAGCGCAATTCAGAGGTATGCAATATAGTGCGCAGCTATACAGTAAATAAGGAACCATTTATGCCGTTGTGCGTTCTTCGGCCTTTCTAACCGGCTGTGGTGTTTTGAAGGAAGATAACATATCCTCTTTTCTGTTGTCCATATACG